GGTGGGAGGCAGGGGACTCTGGGGTCAGTGGCTGATGCTGGGGCATAGTGGTGGGGTGGGCGGCTCTAGGGTTAGAGATGGCACTGGGAATCTGGGGGCTGTGCTTTAGGTGGACCAGTAACATTTTATTTTCATATTCATTATTTGCATAATGTATATGCAAATAAAATGTTACCAGTCCACCAAAAGTTTGCAAATGGGTTTGCCGGTCACCAGTATTAAAAAGGTTAGAAACCGCTGATTTAGAAGAGACCAATTAAGCTGTTCCACTTTGTGTAAATTGTAGAATCATAGAACACTAGAATTGGAAGGGACCTCGAGAGGTCATTGAGTGCAGTCCCCTGCCCTCACCTCAGGACCAAGCACGGTCTAGACCATCCCTGATGTCTGTCCAACCCTACTCTTAAATATACCAGTATTAAAAAGGTTAGAAACCGCTGATTTAGAAGAGACCAATTAAGCTGTTCCACTTTGTGTAAATTGTAGAATCATAGAACACTAGAATTGGAAGGGACCTCGAGAGGTCATTGAGTGCAGTCCCCTGCCCTCACCTCAGGACCAAGCACGGTCTAGACCATCCCTGATGTCTGTCCAACCCTACTCTTAAATATCTCCAGTGATGGGGATTCCACAACCCTCCTGGGCAATTTATTCCAGTGTTTAAGTTTTTCCTGATAATAATTCAATATCCATTGGCCTAAAGAGGCACAGTTTGGTATATGGAAAACCAAGTTCAAGGCCTGGTCCAATGTCTATTTAATTAGCTACACCAAGTGGAACAGCTCCAGCAAAAGAGTTCTGGGACACCTGGCCCACAGGATGGCAGTCAGGGAACTCCCTGGAAATCTAGCCTCCCACTGACCAAAATCAAGTGGAGACGGGATTTGAAAACAGTCCTCCGACCTCCCAGGTGAGCTACTGCCATTGGTATAAGAGAGTGAGCCATTAGCCTCACTCTAGCTTTTCAGGATGACTTGGCTCTGATGTCCAAATCCAGGAATGGGTAATGACAGCCGGAATTCCAAGCAAACAGGCACCTCCTCCCAGCCAGTTTTCTGATGTCCTTTGAGAGGCAAGGCTCAGGCTCCCCCTTTCTCTTGGCTTTTCAGGATGACTTGGCTCTGATGTCCAAATCCAGGAATGGGTAATGACAGCCGGAATTCCAAGCAAACAGGCACCTCCTCCCAGCCAGTTTTCTGATGTCCTTTGAGAGGCAAGGCTCAGGCTCCACCTGTCTCTTGGCATTTCTCACTGGCTATTGCAGGCTGCCACTATTTCCATTCTCTCCGCAGTTATAACCCTTTCATTTCACTCGTTATATATCGTTTATCCACATCTCTCAATTCAGACAAACCAAGATGATCACTCAGGCTTGGCTCATCTGGATACTAATGCTCTGGGCAGAGGGTAAGAAGCACATAAACAAGGAGTAATGGGGTACAGGAAGCAATGAAAGGTTGTGAATTTAAAAATATCAGGGGATACAGCTTGACTCTTGCAGTTCAGTTGCATTGCTGGTGGTTTTATGTTATTTATTTTAATATACTGTATCCATGTAATTTTAGGACAAACTAAAAATAAAACCAGCAGGAACTCTGTTAAACAAAGTGAGATTTAAACACCAGTGCTATCAGCTGTAAAGCCAGTTCAGCCATTTACAACCACATAGCCTGGTACCAACAGAAACCAGGACAAGCCCCTAAGCTCCTTATCTACAGCACTTCCTCTCTGCAATCGGGGGTCCCAGCCCAGTTAAGTGGCAGTGGGTCTGGAAGCGGCTACACCGATTACACTCTCACAATCAGTGCTGCTCAAGCTGAAGAAGATGGAGATTACTAGTGCCAACATTATTACAGCAGCCCCCCAGCCGCAGTGATACAGGCCAGCACAAAACCTTCTGCTCTGTTAGCTCTAGCACTCACACCCTGCTGTGACAGATGTTTTCCATAGATCAGCACCTTCAGCGCCTTATTTGGAGCAAATCTTTGAGGAAATCATGGTCAGCAACCTGGACTAGCCTGAGCCATGACTGCCCTTGCTCTGGGGAACTCAATCTGATCTGGGCCAAGTCAGCTGGGCCTGAATTACTGCCTCTGGGCTGCTTGTAAGGCCTACGTCAGCCTGGGTTTGTGCATAGCCACTGGTGCATGAGATCAAAAGGAGTTGCCCACTCATCCAGCTTTCTAGCCCTTTGTCGTATGGCCCCTCCACCCATCTGCTACCTTAGATAATTATGGGGCTCAATACTCTCTGATGAGCACTGGTGAGCTCTGATGAGCTCTCTGATGAGCACCCTCTTCTACCTGCCTGAAATTACTACTAGACCAGGAGGCGACTGGCCGCAGATAGCAACACATCTACTGGGATCCAGCCAGGACAGCTGAGGATACAGACATTTTAAGTCAGGAAGGATGGAGGAAAATAGAGGCAGCATGAAACAGAAAAACCCAGGAAAGAGAATCTGGAAACGTTTAGAAGATGATCCAGACAAATGGAAGGATCCATCGGTCAACAGGAAATCCAAACCCCAGTTCCCTGTGATAGAAACTTACCCCTGTGTCTCATACCAAAGCACAGGGGAAAGGTACCCATCACCCTCACAATTATCCCTCACTATCAACTGAGTCACCTAGAGCAGAAACACGAAACCATGAAAGATGCATGGCCATGTCAAACCAGTACAGTGTGTTTTATTTGTAATGACTCTATCATGGATAGGCTACACTATCCTGACCCACAGCACAGCTATACAAGAAAGATCTGTGTCTAAAAGGGCACATGCAAGTCATTCCATATTGCATTGAAAGACACAGGAAAATGTTCTCCCAGGCTACGTCTAGACTATATGGCTCCATCAATGGAGCCATTAAAATAGTTTATTTGGCATAGTCAAAGAAATGGGGATTTAAATAATCCCTGTTTCATTAAAATAAAAATGGCCTCCGAGCTGTGCTGACGATCAGCTGATCTGGTATAGCGCGGCAGTCTAGATGTGGCGCGATCGACAAAGGAAGCCTTTGTCGACCACTTCCGTAAACCTCGTTTCACGACTCATACCGGAACAGTTGACAAAAGCTTCCTTTGTTGACAGCGCCGCAGCTAGACTGCCATGCTGTGCCGGATCAGCTGACTATCGACATAGCGCCGCGGCAATTTTTATTTTAATGAAGCGGGGATTATTTAAATCCCACTTCACTGAGTATGCCGAGTAAACTATTTTACATGGCTCCGTCGACAGAGCCATGAAGTCTAGACGTAGCCCCAGAGCCTCCTCCCCAATACCAGGGCAAAAGCCTGCACTGCATTGAGCTGTGAAAACAATAAGCAGATTTTCATAAACACTTGTTGTATTGCTAACCCCAACACGCCAATGTACAGAAATAGCATGAGATTTGCGTGACAAACAAAAGAGTTGGCTTCTTTTTATTTGCCTTCATATTTCACTTTAAAACATTTTCTGCACAACCATGTGGGCTAAAAAATGACTTTTTCTTAAAATTAAAATAGAGTCTCACCTCATCACATGACTCCAACAAATGGGATTCCATAAAGCTGGGGCTTTATGAATAATATAAGACATCACAACCTTTGCCCACCTTACAGCCTTCTGTGCAGGGCTAACATTCAGGCCTGAGTGCACAGACTGTGATGACACAGACCCCAGGACTTCTGGCAGTGCCTCCAGGAGACAACGTTGCTAAAAGCTTCAAAGTCAGTTCAGCCATTTACAATAATATGGTCTGGCAGGTGGCTGGGGAGGAGTTTTAAGACCCATACAGACTCTACATCAATTTAGCAAAATCCACCCGGGGATGTCAAAGCGCCTTACAAAAACTAATCAACGATGTCCCAGTATCCCATAGCAGCATGCCCAGTGAGCAGACAGGGAAGAGGAGGCACAGAGATTGATGGTCTGATTCCACAGCCATTGAAATCAATAGGAATATTTCCTGGGATGCCAATGGGAGGAGGATTGGCTGGACAGGGTAGGGTCCAGCAGCTGTTGCTGTGGTTCATTGTTTTTAATAGAAACAGAGAACACTGAATACATCACAGGATTGGATCTGCAGGAGAATCCCTTTGAAGAACCTGGACATTCTAACATGTTCTGAGCCTCTGTTCAATGTTGCCTTGCTTAGCAGAATAAATTCTGCTAAAAAGACAATTGACAATCTGGCAAGGCCAGGCTAGGGAGACTTCCAAGAAAAGAAAAGGTGTCTGATCCAGAATGACATTTTTGTTTGTTCCCACCCCACAGCTTGTATCCTTTTCCTTATGATCCACTCACAGGATAGGTCTGATGGGTGTAAAGTCTGTTCAGTGTGACCCTGGGGCTGCAGAGGGAAGGGACATTTACACAGAGATGCTGCTTTGCATATTTCCACTCCAGTGACAGTCCCCTCCTCTCTGGAGCAGATATAAACATGTCACTTTAACTGTTTCTGCTTCTGAGCTCCACAGCTGCCAACATGATCTCCCAGATTCAGTTTCTCTGGCTCCTTGTGCTCTGCATTCAGGGTAAGAGAAATAACAGGGGAAATTAGCTTAAAAATTATAAAATGTTACTAGGCTGTTGATGCCCGGAGTTTACTCATCAAGCAATGATTTCCAGGGGCAGTCACTGTGTTTGTGCACAAGAGATACAAGATGCAGCTTTGTAATTAGTTGAAAAACGTATGAGATTTGTGTGTCTGCATATTGCCTTTCCTTTTCAATGTTTTCTCCCATCCAGACTCCATTGGGCAGATTGTGGTGACTCAGACTCCAGAATCCCTGGCAGTGTCTCCTGGAGACACAGTCACTATCCGCTGCAAAACCAGTTCCAGTGTAAGCAACAACATGGCCTGGTACCAACAGAAATCAGGACAAGCGCCTAAGCTCCTTATCTACTACGCTTCCAGCCGTCCGTCTGGGGTCCCAGACCGGTTCAGCGGCAGTGGGTCTGGCACCGACTTCACATTCACCATCAGCAGGGTTGAAGCAAATGATGCTGGAGATTATTACTGTCAGTATTACTACAGTAACTCTCTCACACAGTGATACAGACCAGCACAAAAACCTCCCTGCTCTGTAGGGTTTCTTTCTCTCACTCACAATATTTCAGCTGCTTCCTCTAGCTTCCTGGCACCAGTGCTTCTGCAAGGCTGCCCACAGGCCGAGTGTGTGTCAGAGTTGGATCCCTTCCCTCTTCACTGTAGAACTTAGTCCTTTCAGATGCTCCCTCCCATCATGTGGTTCAGCCCTTTTCTCTCCGTTGTCATTGCTCCCCTAACGCTTACAGGGATCTGATCTTATGGGCTGCATCCAGCTTCCTCTGGACAGTAGCTGACAATGCTAATACCTTTGTACTGAGCTGAGAAGGCAGAGAACTGGGCTCCAGCTTCACACAGCACCTCAAAGCCTGCACTGCATTGAGCTGGAAAACAATAAGCAGATTTTCATAGCCACTTGTTGTGTTGCTGACTCCCAACAAGCCAGTGTAAAGAAATAACATGAAATTTCTGTTACAAACAACAGATCTGGCTTCTTTTTATTTGCCTTCAGTGTTTCACTTTAAAAAAAATTCCTGCATAAACATGTGGGCTAAAAAATGACTTTTTCTTACAATTAAAATAAATTCTCACCTAATCACATGACTTCACCAGCTGGGGCTTTATAAATAACACAAAAATCACAACTTTTGCCCACCTTACAGCCTTCTGTGCAGGGCAAAACACTCAGATTTGAGTGAACATATTGTCATGACACAGACCCCAGAACTTTGGCAGTGTCTCCGGGAAACAATGTTGCTATCAACTGCAAAGTTGGTTCAGCTATTTACAATAATATGGTCTGGTGGCTTGAGGACATTCAGTACGAATCTCCCCCCGGTGGCTGGGGATGGGTTTCTAGACCGATACGAATCCTCTGCATCAATTTAGCAAAATCCACCTGGGAATGTAAAAGCACTTTACAAATACTAATCAATGATGTCCAAGTATCCCTTAGCCGTGTGCCCAGTGTGCATCACCCTCCCTGTTACGCAGACAGGGAAGAGAAGTTACAAAGATTTATAGCCTGATTCCATGGCCATTGAAATCAATAGGAATTTTGCCTGTGATGCCAAGAGGAGCAGGGTTGGGTGGACAGGGTAGTGTCCTGCAGCTGTTGCTGGTGTTCACCCCCTGCCCTACTCACACAACAACCCTGGCACCCAGCACATCACAGAAGTAGAGGGTGAAGTGGCCCAGAAACAAAAGGCAGCGCTGGAGGCTGGCACATAGACACCATTTTTCAACATTTCTGGGCTGTGCAGTTTACACCCCAAATCTGAGCATGCTCCAACTTTGGGTCTCTCTCTCCAGACCTCACTTTTGTCCTGCCTGCCTGCGCCCTTCAAGCCTTTGAGAACAGCCACCATGCTAAGGGTGCAGAATGCCTGCAGTCGCCAGCGTCACTGCTGCCTTGAAAATCTGGTCCCGCAAATAACAACATTGGGGTCATTAAAAGAGAAAAGGCCGCCTGCATTTAAACCCCACACAGGAAATGCCTGAATGACTTTGGCTCATCCTATTTGAGTGTCAACTGGCCTCTTGCTTGGTTCCCCATCACTAACAAACAGCCGTTGTTAATTCCCTGTCCTGTAAAGTTAATCTGGCTGTTTTTCCATTTGAATCATGCAAATATGTTATAGTTATTGCACTGTCAAACCACCTACTTAAAAACCCCCTTCCCGGCATGACACATCTGGCAATTTACATAACTGGGCTCTTTTTTGCCTATTCACACATGGCTGACGGTCCCTCACTGAGCTGCTGAAAACATAAATGGCTCCAATTCCACCCCATGCCTTACTGACGAGCATTTCCAATCATACAGCAGCAAAATGATCTCAAAGGCTCCCCTCCTCTGCCTGCTGCTTTTCTGGATTCAGGGTAAGAACAGACGGGTGCCAAAAATGCTGACAAGAAATGTGGCAAGAAAAATGGCCGTGGTTTGCATAGTTATATGCTGATTCTATGTACATTTCTACCTTTTGCTTTGTTAGTGTTTCAGTATGGAGCTTTGAAGAATGTGACTGTCATTGTCTCATTTATCCAACCTCAGCCCTGCCAATTTTTATTCATTCTCTCCAGGTTCCAGTGGGCAGATTGTGCTGACTCAGTTTCCAGAATCCCTGGCAGTGTCTCCCGGAGACACAGTCACTATCCGCTGCAAAACCAGTTCCAGTGTAGGCAGCTACATGAGCCTGTACCAGCAGAAATCAGGACAAGCTCCTAAACTCCTTATCTACGACGCTTCTAACCGTCCCTCTGGGATCCCAGACCGGTTCAGCGGCAGTGGGTCTGGCACCGACTTCACATTCACCATCAGCAGGGTTGAAGCGGATGATGCTGGAGATTATTACTGTCAGTGTTACTACAGTAGCTCTCTCACACAGTGATACAGACCAGCACAAAAACCTCCCTGCTCTGTAGAGTTTCTTTCACTCACAGTATTTTAGCTGCTTCCTCTGTAGCTTCCTGGCACCAGTGCTTCTGCAAGGCTGCCCACAGGCCGAGTGTGTGTCAGAGTTGGGTCCCTTCCCTCTTCACTCCAGAACTTAGTCCTTCCAGAGGCTCCCTCCCATCATGTGGTTCAGCACTTTTCTCTCCGTTGTCATTGCTCCCCTACCGCTTACAGGGATCTGATCTTATGGGCTGCATCCAGCTTCCTCTGGACAGCAGCTGACAATGCTAATACCTTTGTACTGAGCTGAGAAATCAGACAGAGATCTGTACTGCAGCTTCCCACAGCACCGAGTGACACTGCAGGAATCTACTCCATGTCCTCCGATATTAGCAACTGGAGGGCTGCCATTTTGATTTGAAATGGTTAATGGGCCACAAGTATCCTTCTCAGCCCCAGGCCCCATCCCCACTCCACCTTTTCCCACCTCATTTTAAGAGGGATAAAGGAACTTTCAGAAAAGGCTTTATTTTCCGAAAGATCTGCGTCTAGACTGGCACTTTTTTCTGGCAAAGCTCCAAGCCGGAAAAAAGCGGCAGGCATTTTTATGCTAACGAAGCGGGGGCATTTAAATCCCCACTTCATTTGAAATTGCGATAGGTCTAATTTCCATCCCTTTTACGAAAAAGGGATGCAGTCTAGACATAGCCCTTCAGTAGCAGTTAGAGGATAGCCTGGTTCCAAGGAACGTTTATTCCCCCATTTCTCCATGTCATTCTCCCTCTGCAGCCAGCGAATAACCAAGAGAAAATCTGACCAAAATCACTCCTGCTGGAAATCTGTAACTTAAAAAAAAAGAAAAGAAAAGAAAACAAAACCCTTAAAAAATAGTCTTGCAACACCTTAGGAACTAAGAAAACATGTAGATGGTATCATGGGCATTTGTGGGCACAGCCCACTTCATTAGATGAATGATGTTAAGAGGTCCAGTTTCCAAATAAACAGCAATGAAAGACAAGGGGTGGAGGGAAGAGATGAAAAAAGCAAAAAAGGGGAAAAAATTGTAAATTAGAGTGTCCATGCTAAATGAAG